AGAGACAGAGAGACAGAGACGGAGAGACAAGGAGAGACAAAGAGAGATAGAGACAGAGAGACACAGAGAGAGACACAGAGACACTGAGAGGCAAGAGACAGAGAAAGACAGAAACAGAGAGACAGAGACAGAGAGAGATAGGGACAAGGAGAGATAGAGAGACACAGAGGGAGACAGAGACAGAGAGACAGAGAGAGACAGAGACACAGAGACACTGAGAAGCAAGGAGAGACAGAGAAAGACAGAGAGACAGAGAGACAGAGAGAGATAGAGACAGGAGAGACAGAGAGACACAGAGGGAGACAGAGACAGAGAGTCAGAGAGACAGAGAGAGACACAGAGACAGAGACACAGAGAGAGGCAGAGACAAGGAGAGAGAGTCAGAGAGACACAGAGACACAGGGAGAGACAGAGACACTGAGAGACAAGGAGAGACGGAGAGTCACAGAGGGAGACAGAAACAGAGAGATAGAGAGACACAGAGAGAGACAGGGAGACAGAGAGAGAATCAGAGAGACAGAGAGACACAGGGAGAGATAGAGAGACAGAGACAAAGAGAGACAGGGAGACAGAGAGAGACAGAGAGACAAGGAGATATACAGACGGACACGGAGAGACAAAGACAGAGAGAGACAGAGAGAGGGAGAGACTGACAGAGAGAGACAGAGAGACAGAGAGACAGAGACAGAGACAGAGAGACAGAGGAATTCACTCTTGAGTCAACAGCCCCGAACCCCGAACATGCCTGAACGAACCCGCCCGCCCGTTTAATTGTGCTCCAGTGCCAAGAAAACTTACCCGGGAGGAAAATGGGCACCAGGGCATGTCTTGGGAAGTGTCGCAACACAGACTCCAAACCTTCCACAACCAAGACCTCCCAAGACAACGTGTGTGTGTGTGTGTGTGTTGTGTGTACACACCAAGAAAACCCCTGTGACTTTGCATGTCTTGTTTATGCTCAGCGAGTTACCGGAGGGGGGCGGCGTCCCACATCCCCCTGGAGAATTGAGAAAAACGCCGAGAAATTTAGGGGCGGGATTTTCCCTTTGCGGGCGGGGCGTGTGGGTCGGGGCGGGTGTGTGCAACTCAGGCCCTGTGTGAAATGTTTCGGCAATCACCGCAACCACACAAGTTGTTGCCCTGAGCAAGAAGAACACCCGTCGACCGGGGTAAATCATTTTTCTCCGCCTCCAAAGAAAACAGATCGGAAAATATGAGTATAAAATTTATAGTTAAAAAAAGAAAAAAGAAAACAGATTGGGGCTGGAGCGATAGCCCAGCGGGGAGGGCGTTTGCCTGGCATGTGGCCGACCTGGGTTCGATTCCCAGCATCCCACAGGGTCCCCCGAGCACTGCCAGGAGTCATTCCTGAGTGCATGAGTCAGGAGGGACCCCTGAGCATCACCGGGTGGGACCCCAAAAAGAAAGAAAAGAGAGAAAGAAGGAAAGAAAGAAAGAAAGAAAGGAGAGAGGGAAGAAAGGAAGGAAGGGAGGAAGGAAGGAAGGAAGGAAGGAAGGGAGGGAGGAAGGGAGGGAAGAAGAGATGGATGATGGAAAGGAAGAAAGGAAAGAAGGGAAGGAAGGAAGGAAGGAAGGAAGGAAGGAAGGAAGGAAGGAAGAGAGAGGGGCTGGAGCGATAGCCCAGAGGGGAGGGCGTTTGCCTGGCATGTGGTCAACCAGGGTTCGATTCCCAGCATCCCATAGGGTCCCCTGAGCACTGCCAGGGCTAATTCCTAAGTGCAGAGCCAGGAGGAACCCCTGTGCATTGCCAGATGTGACCCAAAAAGCAAAAAAAAAAAAAAAAGAAAGAAAGAAAGAAAGAAAACAGATGGTCCTGGAGAAATCAAATCGCTCGCTGACAGCTAAAAAAAAAAAAAAAGACAATGACTCAATCATTATATAACTGAAACCCAAGCACAAAAATCTGTAAGTCTACAACTGTACCTTGTGCTGTTTCACTAATAAAAATTAAAAATAATAATAATAAAAAAATTTAAAAATTAAAATAAAAAAAAAACAATGACTCGATCATTGTATAACTGAAACCCAAGCACAAAAATCTGTAAGTCTACAACTGTACCTTGTGGTGTTTCACTAATAAAAATTAAAAATAATGATAATAAAAAGAATTTAAAAATAAATTTAAAAACAATAAAAAAACGAATGACTCGATCATTGTGTAACTGACACCCAAGCACAAAAATCTGTGAGTCTACAACTGTACCTCCCGGTGTTTCACTAATAAAAATTAAAAATAATAATAAAAAAATTTAAAAATAAATTTAAAAACAATAAAAAAACCTTTACCTTTACCTTGCCTTAAAAAAACCAATGACTCGATTATTGTGTAACTGACACCCAAGCACAAAAATTTGTAAATCTACAAACTGTACCTCACGGTGTTTCACTAATTAAAAAAAAAATAAAAATAAAAAACCAGGAAATGCCACGATGCTGAATTGAGACTCTGTGGCAGACCGGGATATTCTCTTTTTTGTTGTTGTTGTTGTTTTCTTTTTGGGGTCCCACCCAGCGATGCTCAGGGCTTCCTCCTGGCTCTTCACTCAGGAATCTCTCCCGGCGGTGCTCGGGGGACCCTAGGGGATGCTGGGACTCGAACCCGCGTCGGCCGTATGCCAGGCAAATGCCCTCCCCGCTGGGTTATCGCTCTGGCCTCTAAATTTTTATCATCACTTTTTAAATTTTTATTTATTTATTTTTTGCTTTTTGGGTCCCACCCAGCAATGCTCAGGGCTGACTCCTGTCTCTGCACTCAGGAATCCCTCCTGGAGGTGCTCGGGGGACCCTCGGGGATGCCGGGACTCGAACCCGGGTCGGCCGCGTGCCAGGCCAATGTCCTCCCTGCTGTGGTATGGCTTCAGCCCCTGATAGTATATCTAAACCCAAAACACGGGAAAAAGAAGTATTTCTCTTCAAATGAACGTATAATAGAGAAATCAGGGGCTGTTGAAGCCTTCTGGGGGGGAGGTAACGGCTGGATTCTTGAAGAAAAATTGAGCGCTTGAGAAGTCCCACCACTTCCCGGAAGAGCTGTGGGAATAATTCGTAACACTTGTATGGAAAAAAAAACCCATAATCTTATAATAACTGATTAATATCACAATTACAGCGTTACAATTAATCACACGATGCCTCTTATTCGTCTGCGTTTATGAATATACAGTTCTCGTTTGGGAATAAGGAGATGCTTCCCACGGGGGTCAGAATACGCATTCTATAATAACTATTATTATGCTAATAATATCATACTAATTACAATGCTCGTCCACATAATAAGTCCATGTGAATAAAACTAGTATGGGAATGACACCCACGCACCACTTTCTTAGTGAAGAGGACCAGGACTTCCTTTGTCTCTTTGAATTCAGGTTTCGAACAGAATCCCCGGGAGATACACAGTTACAAAGTTGTCCAGGATGGGGTTTCAGTGATACAATGTTGCAACACTCAAGCCAGCTTCCTAACCAGCGATACAAAGTAAATGGTTTAGCATCTGCCTTGGGGGCACACTGGGGTGGTGGGAAGATATTGTAAGGGTGGGTGGGATGTGGTGTTTCCTGTGGTACCGTTCACCATCATGAGAACAAAGTCCATGAAAATAAAATGGAAAAATTTAAAACGTGACCTCCAGGGCTGGAGCGATAGCCCAGCGGGGAGGGCGTTGGCCTTGCACGAGGCCGACCTGGGTTCGATTCCCGGCATCCCATAGGGTCCCCCAAAGCACCGCCAGGAGTGATTCCTGAGTGCAGAGCCAGGAGGAACCCCTGAGAATCCCCGGGTGGAATCCAAAAAGCAAAAAAAAAAATTTGGCGGTTTAAAAATAAATAATTTGGGGGCTGGAACGATAGCCCAGCGGGGAGGGTGTTGGCCTTGCACAAGGCCGACCTGGGTTCGATTCCCGGCATCCCCTAGGGTCCCCCGAGCACCGCCAGGAGCGATTCCTGAGTGCACAGCCAGGAGGGACCCCTGAGCATTGCCGGGTGGGACCCAAAAAAAGCAAAAAAGAAAAAAAAGCCCAACAATATTTTATTTATAAATATAGTTTTGCTAAGAAATAAACTATGACCATATGATTACCACCAGGAGATTCCAGTATAAAAGAGAATTTAATGTAATGATTTAATGTAATATGCTTTGGATTCCAGAGTTGAGAATCCATATATGTACATGAGAATTGGAAAATTTTTATGCTGTATTAAATGGGCTTTCTTTTCTTTCTTTCTTTCTTTCTTTCTTTCTTTCTTTCTTTCTTTCTTTCTTTCTTTCTTTCTTTTTCTCCTTTCTTTCTTTCTTTCTTTCTTTCCTTCTTTCTTCTTTCTTTCTTTCTTTCTTTCTTTCTTTCTTTCTCTTTCCTTTCTTTCTCTTTCTTTCTTTCTTTCTTTCTCTTTCCTTTCTTTCTCTTTCTTTCTTTCTTTCTTTCTTTCTTTCTTTCTTTCTTTCTTTCTTTCTTTCTTTCTTCCTTTCTGTCACACTCAGCGATGCTCAGGGGTTCCTCTTGGCTTTGTACTCAGAAATTCAGAAATTACTCCTGGTGGTGCTTGGGGGACCCTATGGGATGCTGGGAATCGAACCCTATTTTCTTCTTCTTTTAAAAAAAACACTGATAGGGGCTTGAGTGCTAGCACAGTGGGGAGGGCATTTGCCTGGCACGCAGCCGACCCGGGTTCGATTCCCAGCATCCCCTAGGGTCCCCTGAGCACCGCCAGGATTCCTGAGTGCAGAGCCAGGAGGAACCCCTGAGCATCGCTGGGTGGGACCCCAAAAAGCAAAAAAAAAAAAAAAAGAGCGACACCCTGGAGACTCTTTGGTCTAAAAATCACAACAAAATAGACAAACGCACTCAGTTTCTTGTTTCTTTTTATTTGTCTGGTGTTGGGGTAGTGATTCCCCCAACAGTGTTAAGAAATGGCCAGTGGGCACTTAGGGATGGTCAAAGGCCTCCCTCCCTCCCTCCTTCTCTCCCTCCCTCCCTGGGCAGGTCTGCGGGGGCGGGGGGGGGCGGCTTCCCTGCTGCGGGAGGCCATAGGTGAGGGTCGGTCGGCCCCCAGGATTCCCAGGAAGGCTTCTGTGGGGAGGGTCTGTTGGCATTACGTGGGCATCACTGTGCCCGGAATATCGCACTCGGGAACCCCCAAAGGCTCCCAAAGAAAGTGAAGGCGTGGACGCAACGCTCGTCCTGGGTAAGGGCCGGGCTTGCAGGTTCCGAGGGTCCGGATGATGTCACGGAGACCCCCAGCTGTAGCCGGCCGGGTGCCAGGGCCCAAGGAGGGGGTCTGGCGGGCACTGGCCCTCCGCGGGGAACAGGCACGGGGGTGATTGTCTGCCAACGCCCGGCGCAGCGGTGGTTCAGAACTCCCGCGTCCGGGTTCAGGGCGGTGATTCTTATCTCTTCAGGAGGGTTTGCTGGACTGTGAGGGGCACAGAGACACGGTTGGACAAAGGCACCACACACACACACACACACACACACACACACACACACACACACCCCGGGGGTCTGCGGGAGGCAGCCCAGGGCCCCCTGAGGGTGATTTGGGAATCGGTGATCTTCGGGGGTCAATGGCCTGGGGAAGGGGAGTGGACAGAGATGCTCACGCCAGCCCGGACCCCCGACCCTTCCTTCAGGGACCCCAGCAGGGGCTGTCTTTGCTTTTTTCTCTGTGGGAAAGGATTCCGCGAGAATTTGGGTGAGGAGGGAAGGAAGGAAGGAAGGAAGGAAGGAAGGAAGGAAGGAAGGAAGGGAGGGAGGGAGGGAGGGAGGGAGGGAGGGAGGGAGGGAGGGAAGGAGGGAGGGAGGGAGAAAAGGAGAGAGGAAGGGAGGGAAGAAGGGAGGGAGGAAGGAGAGATGGAGGGTGGGAAGGAAGGATGGAAGGATGGAAGAAAAGAAGGGAGGGAGGGAGGAAGGAAGGGAGGGAGGGAAGGAAGGAATGATGGAACGATGGAAGGAAAGAAGGGAGGGAAGGAAGGAGGGAAGGAAGGAAGAAGGAAATAATGGAGGGAGGGAATGAAGAAAAGGAAGGAAGGAAGGAAGGAAGGAAGGAAGGAAGGAAAGGAAGATTGAAGGAAGGGAAGGAGGAAGAAAAGAAGGAAGGGTGTGAGACAGGAAGAAAGGAACGAAGAGAGGAAGGAAGGAAAGAAAGAAGGGAGGGAGAAAGGAGGGAGAGAAGGAAGGAAGGAAAAAAGAAAGGAAGGAAAGGAAGAAGGAAGAAAATAAGGAAGGAAGGAAGGAAGGAAGGGAGGAAGGAGAGAAGGAAGGGAGGAAAGGAGGAAGAAACGAAGGACAGCATGATGCAGGAAAAGAAGGGATGAAGGAGGAAGGGTGGGAGGAAGGAAGGAAGAAAGGAAGGAAGGAAGAAAGGAAGGAAGGAAAGGAAGATTGAAGGAAGGGAAGGAGGAAGAAAAGAAGGGAGGGTGAAAGACAGGAAGAAAGGAACGAGGAGAGGAAAGAAGAAAGAAGGGAGGGAGGGAGGAAAGAGGGAAGGAAGGAAAGAAGAAAGGAAGGAGAGAAGGAAGGAAGGGAGGAAAGGAGGAAGAAATGAAGGACAGCACAATGCAGGGAAGGAAGGGATGAAGGAGGGAGGGTGGAAGTAAGGAAGGAAGGAATGGAGGGAGGGAGTAAAGGAAGGAAAGAAAGAGGAAGGAAGAAAGGAAGAAAGAAAGAGAGAAAGAAAGAAAAAAGAAAGAAAGAAAGAAAGAAAGGAAGGAAGGAAGGAAGGAAGGAAGGAAGGAAGGAGGGAGGGAGGGGAGAGGCATGTGGTCAGCTGAGGGGTCAGTGTTGGGGGTGGCGGGCAGGTGAGGGGCAGGTCAGGGTCAGCTGAGGGGTCAGCTGAGGGGTCAGGGGTCGGGGTCTCACCGGGCGGCTCTGCGTTGGTCCTGTGCTGGTTCTCCATGTTGACGACGTCCTGACCTGCTGTGGAGAAGCCCCGAGGGTGACCTGGGGACCCTCGCGCCCTCCCGGGACCCCCGGGACGCCCCCCCCCCGGCCGGGAGCAGAGACCCCCCCAGCCCCTCGCCACCCTCAGCAGGTGCCACCCGCCCGGCGGGGGAGACGCCACCAGGGGTCCCGGGCGGAGCCGCCCGATGGGGCTCTCAGGACACCCACAGGACTCAGGACACTCAGGACTCCTGCCGGGGACATGGGGGGGGTTGTGAGGGTATGAGTGTCAGTGTGCGTGTGTGAGCATGTGTGTGTGTGTCACTGTCTGTGTGTGACTATGAGTGTGTGCGAGTGTGTCTGTGAGTATGAGTGTCTGTGTGAGTGTGTGTATGTGTGAGTGCGTGTCTGGGAGTGTGTCTGGCAGTCTTTGTGTGAGTGTCGGTGTGACTGTGTCACCTTATGTATCGGCGTGTGTGAGTGTATATGTGAGTATCTGTGTGAGTGAGCGTGAGTGTGTTTCAGAGTGTTTGTGACTGCGTGTATACGTGAGTGTGTGAGTGTTTCACTGTGTGTGTGAGTGTGTCAGTGTGTGAGTGTGAGTCTATGAGTGTCTGTGCATCTGTGTCTATGTGTGTGTTAGTGTGTGTGACTGAGTGTGTGTGAGTGTATGTGAGTGTGTATGTGAGTGTGTGTGTCTGTGTGTGTATGTGTGAGTGTGTCTGGGAGTGTGTGTCGGTGTGACTGTGTGTGTTTGTGTGAGTGTGTGTGACTGTGTGTTTATGTGAGTGTGTGTCCGTGGAGTGTGTGACAATGAGTGTGTGTGAGTGACTGTGTGTTTGTGAGTGTGTGTTTGTGTGACTATGTGTGTCAGTGTATGTATCAGTGTGTGTTAGTGTGTGTGTGTGAGAGTGTATATGTGTTTGTGTGAGTGAGCATGTGAGTGTGTTTGAGATGACTGTGTCTATATGTGTCTGTGTGAGTGTGTATGTGTGTCAGTGTGTTTCACTGTGTGTGTCAGTCACTGTGTGAGAGTCTGTGAGTGTCTGTGCATGTGCGTGTATGTGAGTGTGTCAGTGTGTGTAACTGAGTGTGTGTTTGAGTGTATGTGAGTATGTGAGTGTGTATGTGAGTGTGTGAGTGTGGCTGTCCCCCATGCCTCCTGGCCACAGCCGAGTCTCCCTCCAGGACCCCCAGGACATCCCGGCAGCCCCAAACCCTGCTGGGACCAGCCCGCGGGTGTCAGACCCCATGTCAGAACCATGCAACGCGCACACGTGTTTTTATGCTGCACACGTGTGTTTACGCTCCTGGGTGATCCCATGTCCCCATCGGTAGCTGCCCATCCTTGTCGAACCAGTTCCGTCTCCTCCCCGGGCCCCTGTCTGAAGCCAGATCTGGCCGTGGAGATAGTACTGGGGTGAGGCGTGGCCTTGCATGCAGTAGACACGGGACTGGACCTGACACCACAGATGGACCCTGAGCCCCGTCAGGAGTGAGCCCTGACCACTGAGCCGGGAGTTATCCCTGAGCACCAAGCTAGGAGTCAGCCCTGAGCACTGAGCCAGGAGTCAGCCCTGAGCACTGAGCTGGGAGTCAGCCCTGTTTTAGATTTCCAACTGTCCACGCTCCCTTAGTCGCACACGTGGGCCAACAGCCGCACCCACCCCCCAGCCCCCGCTGTCCACCTCAAATGTCCACCCCTGGGTCTCCGACGAGACAATCCTACACGCCCGGGAGACTCGTGGCTAAGATACGTTTATTTCTTTGGCGCGATTTGAGTTGCACGATGGGCAGGGAGATGCGAGGTGAGGTACACAAGGGGCTGGTCCGGCCAGGAGCGTCACACACACACACGCACACACACACACACACACACACACAGAGGGAACGGGTGTCTCTGGGGAACGTCCACCGGGTTCTATGTCCCCGTTCCCCTGCCCTCAGGAAATGCCAACACTTAGAAAGGACCAAAAAAAAAAGAGGCGAAACGGAGACAGGAAGCCCAAGGGCACCGTGCCCAGCACCCTGGAGCCGTCTCCTGGTGGGCGGAGGTCTCGGTGAGCGGAGTGGACAGTGCTCCTCGTGGTGTAGGACCCGCGATACCTTCTTGTCCCCCACAGAAAGTCCACTAGGCTGGGGGACGGGGTGGGGGAAGGACGGTCTTAGGTGGGGGAGTGCCTTTTGGAATGTGGGTCTCGTGATTTCAAGGAGGGTGCTGCAATGGTTAAAACGGGGGCGTCCCCAGAGTTAAAATATGGGAGTGACAATGGTTGAACTTGGGGTGTCCCAATGGTTGAACTGGGGTGTCCCAATGGTTAAGACTGGAGAGTTCCAATGGTTGAACTTGGGATGACCCAATGGGTGAACTGGGGTGTCCCAATGGTTCAGATTGAAAAGTCCCAATGGTTGAACTTGGGGTGTCCCAATGGTTAAGATTAAAGAGTCCCAATGGTTGAACTTGGGGTGTCCCAATGGTTGAACTGGGGTGTCCCAATGGTTAAGACTGGAGAGTTCCAATGGTTAAACTTGGAATGACCCAGTGGGTGAACTGGGGTGTCCCAATGGTTAAGATTGGAGAGTCCCAATGGTTGAACTTGGGATGTCCTAAAGGTTGAAATGTAGAGTGTTTTAACACTCAAAATGGCGGTGTTCCAATGCTTGAAATGTGGGTGTTCCAAGTCGGGGTGTTCCAGTGGTTGAAACATGGGCGTTCTGATGGTTGAAATGTGGGTGTTCCAATGGTTGAAATGTGGGTGTTCCAATGGTTGAGATGTGGGTGATCCAAATTGGGGTGTTCCAATGGTTGAAACGTGGGTGTTTCAATGGTTAAAATGGGGGTATTCCAAATTGGGCTGTTCTAATGGTTGAAACATGGGTGTTCCAAATGGGGGGTGTTCCAATGGTTGAAATGTGGGTGTTTGGATGGTTGAAATGTGGGTGTTTCGATGGTTAAAATGTGGGTGTTCCAATGGTTGAGATATCGGTGTTTCGATGGTTGAGATGTGGGTCTTTTGATGGTTGAAATGTGGGTGTTTCGAGGTTGAAACGTGGGTGTTTTGATGGTTAAAATGTGGGTGTTCCAATAGTTGAAATGTGGGTGTTCTGATGGTTGAAATGTGGGTGTTTGGATGGTTGAAATGTGGGTGTTTCGATGGTTGAAATGTGGGTGTTCCGATGGTTGAAATGTGGGTGTTCCAAATTGAGGTGTTCCAACGGTTTAAATGTGGGTGTTCCAAATTGGGGTGCTCCAATGGTTGAAATGTGGGTGTTCCAATGGTTGAAATGTGGGTGTTCCGATGGTTGAAATGTGGGTGTTCCAAATTGGGGTGTTTCAATGGTTGAAATGTGGGTGTTTCAATGGTTAAAATGGGGGTATTCCAAATTGGGCTGTTCTAATGATTGAAACATGGGTGTTCCAAATGGGGGTATTCCAATGATTGAAATGTGGGTGTTTCGATGGTTGAAATGTGGGTGTTTTGATGGTTAAAATGTGGGTGTTTCGATGGTTGAAATGTGGGTGTTTCAATGGTTGAAATGTGGGTGTTTCAATGGTTGAAATGGGGGTATTCCGATGATTGAAATGTGGGTGTTTCGATGGTTGAAATGTGGGTGTTTTGATGGTTAAAATGTGGGTGTTCCGATGGTTGAAATGTGGGTGTTCCAAATTGGGGTGTTCCAATGGTTTAAATGTGGGTGTTCCGATGGTTAAAATGTGGGTGTTCCAAATTGGGGTGCTCCAATGGTTGAAATGTGGGTGTTCCAATGGTTGAAATGTGGGTGTTCCGATGGTTGAAATGTGGGTGTTTGGATGGTTGAAATGTGGGTGTTTGGATGGTTGAAATGTGGGTGTTTCGATGGTTGAAATGTGGGTGTTCCCATGGTTGAAATGTGGGTGTTCCGTTGATTACAATGGGGGTTTTCCAATGATCGAAACGGGCCTTCTCCAAATGGTTTGAAATGAGGGTGTCCCAATATTTGAAATGTGGGTGTCCCGATGGTGGCCATGGCGGTGTCCCAACGGTCGTCCTAGTGGGCGTGACCAGCGGTCCTCCTCCTCCTCCTGGTCACCATGAGACCCTGGAATCGGCGATCACAGATATCATCGGGGCTTTCAACAAACATCGGTGACGGGTTCTTCCAAGGCTCCCAAGACGGTCTTGAAACTCTGCATGTCCCCTGTGGCGTGGGCCTCCGCAGTGACCACGGGCACCTTGAGTTTCCCCAAAGCACAGACACACTCGGGCTGAGCGTGGCCCCCAACAGTGGCCCCTCAGAATGACAATGTCCACCCCCGTGGCTGGGCTGGAGACTGTGTCCCGGTGGCAGAAACTTGGAGGTGTCCACTGGCTGGTTTGTAGGTTTCCGGAACTCAGAGACCAGGCTGCTGACGGAAGAGGGACAGGCGAGTGTCCAGTTGGGGTCTGCGGGGGTCCACCCGTCCTGCACGCTCTCGAGGACGACGGTTGGCATTTTTTTGGGGGGGTGGGGGTGTAAAAATCGGTGGACGCAAAAGCAGAGCGTTAGAACGGTCCCCTGCGGAAGGGATGGAGCCCACCAGGAAGCGGGTGAGACCTTCGCCAGGCCATCGTCTCGGCTTCAAGGCAGCGGCTAGCCGGTCCAGCTTGACCCACGGGCAAGCAGTGGACGACGGGTGGACGACGGCAGGCCAACGGGACAGCCGCCCCGGGCCCCCCTCTCTCCGCGTTCTCCGGAGCTCACGCAGCAAGAGGAAGCATCGGACGACCGGACGCTCGGCACGGAACAGCAGGACGGGGCGTCTCGCGCTCGGACAGACTCGAGGAGGCGCGGAATTCATGGGCTTCCAGAACATTCCCCTCCCCCTCCCCCGCCCCGTCCCGCCTGCCCGTCTCTCTCTCAGACCCCGGCCGAGTCCACGATTTTATTTTGGCTTGAAGACTCAGCGGCCCCAACGGAGAAGCAGACACGGACATCCGACGGGACCCCCTGGTGGAGACGCAATCGCTCTCCTGCCTACGCCTTGGCCCCATCTGCGAAGGAAAACGGGGGTGGGGAGAAAAGAAATAACACACGTCGGCGTTGCATGAGCTCCTGGTACCACTGGACGGGTTAGAAAGATGCTGTGTGGGCTGGTGAGGCAAGCGTGGGCAGGTGAGTCCCAGGAGACGGCCAGCATCAGCGGTGGATGCAGTGAGCAGCATCATACAGAACACAGTTGCCGAGCGCATCGCTGGATGGTGCCTAAGAGCTGGCAGGGCGTGGCCATGGGCACACACGCAGGACACGGGCGGGTTAGAAAGATGCTGTGTGGGCTGGTGAGGCAAGCGTGGGCAGGTGAGTCCCAGGGGACGGCCAGCATCAGCGGTGGACGCAGTGAGCAGCATCACACAGAACACAGTTCCCGTGCACATCGCCGGACGGTGCCTAAGAGCTGGCAGGGCATGGTCATGGGCACACACGCAGGACACGGCAGTTACGGGCGTTCATGGCTAACAGCCGCAGGTGCGTGAAAGCAGGCGGTGCTGTTACGGGCGGAGGCCGGGTGACATGCAGTGCTCGGGCGTCTGCGGCCCCTGACACACACTCCTGCCTCCCTCCCCCCCCCGAGGCGGAGCCTGGCCTCCTCAGACGCCAGGGGACACAGGCCAGAGTGACCCCCGTCCACTTCCCTGCCAGAAACAGACGCCCAAAGTGCAGGCAGAAACCCGCTGGCAATTTTTTGCTTTTCCTTTGCATGACGGTTCTTTTGTCTCGGGGACACACGCCCAGCGAGCTCAGGGCTGACTCCTGGGTCTGTGCTCAGGACTGACTCGCGGTTCTGTGCTCAGGGTTGACTCCTGGCTCTGGGCTCAGGACTGATTCCTGGGTCTGTGCTCAGGGGTGACTCCCAGCTCTGTGCTCAGGGCTCACTCCTGGCTCTGCGCTCAGAGATGAGTCTTGGTTCTGTGCTCAGGGCTGACTGCTGGCTCGGCTCAGGGCTGACTCCTGGGTTGTATGCTCAGGGCTGACTCCCGGTTCTGTGCTCAGGGTTGACTCCTGGCTCTGGGCTCAAGGTTGACTCCTGGCTCTGTGCTCCGGGCTGACTCCGGCTCTGAGCTCAGGACTGACTCCTGGCTCTGTGCTCAGGGCTGATTCCCGGGTCTGTGCTTAGGGCTGACTCTGGGCTCTGTGCTCAGGGCTGACTCCTGGGTTTGTGCTCAAGGCTGATTCCAGGCTCTGTGCTCAGAGATGACTCTTGGTTCTGTGCTCAGGGCTGAGTCTCGGCTAACTCCTGGCTCTGTGCTCAGGATAGACTCTCGGCTCTGTGCTCAGGGCTGACCCCTGACTCTGTGCTCAGGGCTGACTCCCGGCTCTGTGCTCAGGGCTGACTCCTGGCTCTGTGCTCAAGGATCACTCCCGGCTCTGTGCTCAGGGCTGACTCCTGGCTCTGTGCTCGTGGCTGACTCCCGGCTCTGTGCTCAGGGCTCAAACCCCATGCAAACACAGTGCCCTGCCCCACTGCAATAATCTCTCTGCCCTGGACGTAGCTTTCAGGCTTGAGGTTGCAAACCAAGTCGCCATGGTGGAAACTCCAGAACAGAAGGCGACAGAGGTGGACCTTCCCGCGGGCAGCCTGGCCTCGACCCCTCCCAGGCCTTCTTGCCCCTTTGGTGGGAGCGACTTGCGTCATGAATGAAGACTCCGAAGGAACAAAAACTCGAGATGACGCAGGTCACCCGGGCTCAGGAGCACCCCAGGACACGCTGAGGCGGGTGACCTGTGACTGCCACACACCAGCTCACCTGGCCACGGGTTTGCTGCCCACCCAGCGCCCACCCGGACCAACCAGCGATTCACCAACATTCACAGAGACTAAGAAGAATAATTACAGGAGACTCAGAGAGACCGTGTTCTCTCCTGCTGTCATCCTTGTCCCTTCTCTGCCCCAGCCCTGCCCCTTTCTAAATGATTTTTTTTTGCTTTTTGGGCCCCACCCGGCGATGCTCAGGGGTCCCTCCTGGCTCTGCGCTCAGGAATTCCTCCTGGCAGTGCTCGGGAGACCCTAGGGGATGCTGGGGATCGAACCCGGGTCGGCTGCATGCCAGGCAGACGCCCTCCCCGCTGGGCTATCACTCCAGCCTCTCTCTCTCCTTCCTTCCTTCCTTCCTTCCTTCCTTCCTTCCTTCCTTCCTTCCTTCTTCTCTCTTTCTCTGTTTCTTTTCTTTCTTTTTGGGGTCCCACCTGGCGATGCTCAGGGGTCCCTCCCGGTTCTGCACTCAGGAATCCCTCCTGGCGGTGCTCGGGGGACCCTATGGGATGCCGGGAATCGAACCCGGGTCGGCCGTGTGCCAGGCCAACGCCCTCCCTGCTGGGCTATTGCTCCAGCCTCTCTTCCTTCCTTCCCTCCCTCCCTCCTTCCTTCCTTCCTTCCCTTCCTTCCTCCCTCCCTTCTTTCCTTCTGTCCCTCCCTCCCTGCTTCCTTCCTTCCTTCCTTCCTTCCTTCCTTCCTTCCTTCCTTCCTCTCCCTCCCTCCTTCCTTCTTTCCTTCCTTCCTTCCTTCCTTCCTTCCTTCCTTCCTCTTCTCCCTCCTTCCTTCCTTCCTTCCTTCCTTCCTTCCTTCCTTCCTTCCTCTTTCTCTCTTCCTTTCTTTTCTTTCATTTTGGGTCCCACCTGGCGATGCTCAGGGGTCCCTCCCGGTTCTGCACTCAGGAATCCCTCCTGGCGGTGCTCGGGGGGACCCTATGGGATGCCGGGAATCGAACACCGGGTCGGCCGTGTGCCAGGCCAACGCCCTCCCTGCTGGGCTATTGCTCCAGCCTCTCTTCCTTCCTTCCCTCCCTCCCTCCTTCCTTCCTTCCTTCCCCTTCCTTCCTCCCTCCCTTCTTTCCTTCTGTCCCTCCCTCCCTGCTTCCTTCCTTCCTTCCTTCCTTCCTTCCTTCCTTCCCTCTCCCTCCCTCCTTCCTTCTTTCCTTCCTTCCTTCCTTCCTTCCTTCCTTCCTTCCTTCCTCTTCCTCCCCTCCTTCCTTCCTTCCTTCCTTCCTTCCTCTTTCTCTCTTCCTTTCTTTTCTTTCATTTTGGGGTCCCACCTGGCGATGCTCAGGGGTTCCTCCTGGCTCTGCACTCAGGAATCCCTCCTGGCGGTGCTCGGGGGACCCTATGGGATGCCGGGGAATCGAACCCGGGTCGGCCGTGTGCCAGGCCAACGCCCTCCCTGCTGGGCTATTGCTCCAGCCTCTCTTCCTTCCTTCCCTCCCTCCCTCCTTCCTTCCTTCTTCCCTTCCTTCCTCCCTCCCTTCTTTCCTTCTGTCCCTCCCTCCCTGCTTCCTTCCTTCCTTCCTTCCTTCCTTCCTTCCTTCCTCTCCCTCCCTCCTTCCTTCTTTCCTTCCTTCCTTCCTTCCTTCCTTCCTTCCTTCCTTCCTCTTCCTCCCTCCTTCCTTCCTTCCTTCCTTCCTTCCTCTTTCTCTCTTCCTTTCTTTTCTTTCATTTTGGGTCCCACCTGGCGATGCTCAGGGGTTCCTCCTGGCTCTGCACTCAGGAATCCTCCTGGCGGTGCTCGGGGGGACCCTATGGGATGCCGGGAATCGAACCCGGGTCGGCCGTGTGCCAGGCCAACGCCCTCCCTGCTGGGCTATTGCTCCAGCCTCTCTTCCTTCCTTCCCTCCCTCCTCCCTCCTTCCTTCCTTCCTTCCTTCCCTTCCTTCCTCCCTCCCTTCTTTCCTTCTGTCCCTCCCTCCCTGCTTCCTTCCTTCCTTCCTTCCTTCCTTCCTTCCTTCCTTTCCCTCCCTCCTTCCTTCTTTCCTTCCTTCCTTCCTTCCTTCCTTCCTTCCTTCCTTCCTCTTCCTCCTCCTTCCTTCCTTCCTTCCTTCCTTCCTTCCTTCCTTCCTTCCTTCCTTCCTTCCTCTTTCTCTCTTCCTTTCTTTTCTTTCATTTTGGGTCCCACCTGGCGATGCTCAGGGGTCCCTCCTGGCTCTGCACTCAGGAATGAGTCCTTGGCGGTGCTTGGGGGACCCTAGAGGATGCCGGGAATCGAACCCGGGTCGGCCGCATGCCAGGACAATGCTATAATATATATATGTAGTGGGAGGCCCACTATCATACCCCTCTGCCCCCTCTAAACGACTGTCAATAAAAGTGATCCTAGGGGCACTAGTAAGGAAACAAATTCGGCCTCTACATAAACTCTGGCACCCTCTTCCTGACAGCCATAAGTGCCAGGGTCTGACCCCAAAGTCGGGAGAGTTCCCTGGGCCAAACCAGCATGAAGGCTTAAAAATCGAGATAGGCGGGGCTGGACTGATGGCCCAGCAGGGAGGGCGTTGGCCTGGCACGCGGCCGACCCGGGTTCGAGTCCCAGCATCCCCTAGGGTCCCCCGAGCACCGCCAGGAGGAGTCATTCCCGAGTGCAGAGCCAGGAGGGAGCCCTGAGCATCGCTGGGTGTGATGAAGAAGAAAGAAAGAAAGAAAGAAAGAAAGAAAGAAAGAAAGAAAGAAGAGAGAGAGAGAGAGAGGGAGGGGGGAGGAAGGAAGGAAGGGAGGAAGGAAGAAAGAAAGAAAGAAAGAAAGAAAGAAAGAAAGAAAGAAAGAAGAAGGGAGGGAAAGAAGGGAAGGAAGGAAGGAAGGAAGGAAGGAAAGAAAGAAAGAAAGAAAGAAAGAAAGAAAGAAGAAGGGAGGGAAAGAAGGGAAGGAAGGAAGGAAGGAAGGAAGGGAGGAAGGAAGGAAGGAAGGAAGGAAGGAAGGGAGGAAGGGAAGGAGGGAGGGAGGGAGGGAGGAAGGAAGGAAGGAAAGAAAGGAAGGAAGGAAGGAAAGAAAGAAAGAAAGAAAGAAAGAAGGGAGGGAAGGAAGGAAGGAAGGAAAGAAAGAAAGAAAGAAAGAAAGAAGAAGGGAGGGAAAGAAGGGAAGGAAGGAAGGAAGGATGGAAGGAAGGAAGGAAGGAAGGAAGGAAGGGAGGAAGGAAGGAAGGAAGGAGGAAGGGAAGGAGGGAGGGAGCGAGAGAGGAAGGAAGGGAGGAAGGAAAGAAAGAAAGAAAGAAAGAAAGAAAGAAGAAGGGAGGGAAAGAAGGGAAGGAAGGAAGGAAGGAAGGAAGGGAGGAAGGAAGGAAGGAAGGAAGGAAGGGAGGAAGGGAAGGAGGGAGGGAGGGAGGGAGGAAGGAAGGAAGGAAAGAAAGGAAGGAAGGAAAGAAAGAAAGAAAGAAAGAAGGGAGGGAAGGAAGGAAGGAAGGAAAGAAAGAAAGAAAGAAAGAAAGAAAGAAAGAAGAAGGGAGGAAAGAAGGGAAGGAAGGAAGGAAGGAAGGAAGGGAGGAAGGAAGGAAGGAAGGGAGGGAGGGAAGGAGGGAGGGAGCGAGAGAGGAAGGAAGGGAGGAAGGAAAGAAAGAAAGAAAGAAAGAAGAAGGGAGGGAAAGAAGGAAAGGAAGGAAGGGAAAAAGGAAAGAAGGAAGGAAGGGAAGAGAGAGGGGCTGGAGTGATATCCCAGCATGGAGGGCATTTTCCTGGCACGCGGCCGACCTGGGTTCGATTCCCAGCATCCCCTAGGGTCCCCCGAGCACCACCAGGGGTAATTCCTGAGTGCAGAGCCGGGAGTCACCCCTGGGCATCACCGGGTGCGATACCCCATAAAGCAAAAAAAACACAACAACAAAACAACCACAACAACAAAAGGCCAAAGACCCTTTAGACAGTGTGATTAGTCGGCCAAGCAGCCCAGCCCCGGAGAAGCTGATCCCGCCGGTCCACTCAGTGAAGCCCGCCGAGCTCGGACGAATGCAGTGCTCAGACGTGCAGACCTGGGTCCTGGTTTAGTGGCCCGCCAGGGCTGGAGGACACGGCCGCAGAGTGTTACGACGACACCGAAAGCCAGACATGCAGCCCCCGGCGGTGACGGTCCCCCAGACCCCACCCCACGCTGCCTGCAGCGCGAGCCGAGCGCCTGGGAGCTTCTGTGTCCCGAGAAGCACGCGTGCGTGCATGCGTGCGTGCGTGAGCCTTACCGTTCTCCTTGAAACACCACTTCTTCTTCTGGTAGGCGATGAAGCTGGACACGGCGCCAGCCACGGCCACCACCACGGCCCCGACGATGCCCGAGATCACGCCGGGAGAGTCGGCTGTGGAGGAGAAACGGGAGGTCGTGAGAGTGGCGTGTCAGAGGGCCCGCCAAGCAGTGGCCACCCCGCAGGGCGGGGCATGGAGCGTGGACGTCTCTGCCCTGACAACCGAAAGGTGAGGGTGGACAGAACTCAGCTCAACAGACGGACACAAGGCACAGGCACGAAACTCCATCCCCGCCAAGGTTGGCTACTGACTCAAAGTGGTTGACCCGGGTTCGATTCCTCTGCCCCTCTCGGAGAGCCTCTTGGCAAGCTCCCGAGAGGATCCCGCCCGCCCGGCAGAGCCTGGCCAGCTCCCCGTGGCGTCTACACGATGCCAAACACAGTCACAGCAAGTCTCACAATTTGTTGTGGGACGTTCCTGGTGCCCGCTTCAGCCGATCGATGAACGACGGGAGGACAGTGGCAGTGATCATGATCATTATTATTATTTGGCTTTTTGGGGGTCCCACCCAGCGATGCTCAGGGCTGACTCCTGGCTCTGTACTCAGGAATCACTCCTGGGGGACCCTACGGGATGCTGGGAATCGAACCCGAGTCAGCCGCGTGCCAGGCCAATGCCCTTCGCGCTGGGTTATCACTCTACTCTGTCTCTCTTCCTTCCTTCCTTCCTTCCTTCCTTCCTTTTCCCTTCCTTCCTTCCTTCCTTCCCCTCTTTGTTTCTTCATCTCTGTGTTCCTCTCTCTTTCTTTCTTCCTTTCTCTCTTTCTTTCTTTCTTTCTTTCTCTTTCTTTTTCTCTTTATTTCTTTTTCTCTTTCTTTGTCTCTTTCTCTTTCTTTCTCCCTTCCTTCCTTCCCTCCCCTCTTTGTTTCTTCATCTCTGTGTTCCTCTCTTTCTCTTTCTTCCTTTCTCTCTCTTTCTCTCTCTCTTTCTTTCTCTCTTTCTTTCTTTCTTTCTCTCTTCTTCCTTCCTTCCTTCCTTCCTTCCTTTTCTTTCTTCCTCTTTCTTTCTTTCTTTCTTTCTCTTCCTTCCTTCCTTCCTTCCTTCCTTCCTTCCTTCCTTCCCTCTCTCTCTCTTTCTTTTCTTTCCTTTCCTTTCCTTCCCTCTCTCTCTCTTCCTTTCCTTTTCTTTCCTTTCCTTTCCTTTCCTTTCCTTTCCTTTCCTTTCCTTTCCTTTCCTTTCCTTCATCACACCCAGCGATGCTCAGGGGTTCCTCCTGGCTCTGCACTCAGGAATGACTCCTGGCGGTGCTCGGGGGACCCTAGGGGATACTGGGAATCGAACCCGGGTTAGCCGCGTGCAAGGCAGACGCCCTCCCCGCTGTGCTATTGCTCCAGCCGCTCTCCCTTCCTTCCTTCCTTTTTTCCTTTTTTCCTTCCTTCCTTCCTTCCTTCCTTCCTTCCTTCCTTCCTTCTTTCCTTTTCTTTCTTCCTCCCTCTCTCTCTCTCTTTCTTTCTTCCTTTCTTTCTTTCTTTCCTTCTTTCTCTCTCTCTTCCTTTCCTTTCCTTTCCTTTCCTTTCCTTTCCTTTCCTTTCCTTTCCTTTCCTTTCCTTTCCTTTCCTTCATCACACCCAGCGATGCTCAGGGGTTCCTCCTGGCTCTGCACTCAGGAATCACTCCTGGCGGTGCTCGGGGGACCCTAGGGGATACTGGGAATCGAACCCGGGTTGGCCGCGTGCAAGGCCAACGCCCTCCCTGCTGGGCTCTCGCTCCAGCCCCAAATTTCCAGATGTTTTATCTCTGTAAGTGATCAATCACACGTCTCTCTCTCTCTCTCTCTCTCTCTCTCTCTCTCTCTCTCTCATAAAATTAATTATGGCAATATGGGTTGAATTACATGATCGCATGTTAATGGAATCACGTGGGTGAGAGACAGACGGGAACACAGTATCAAGACAAACCAACGAAACAAAACAAAACAACCAAAAGGCACCAGAGCAAGAGGACAGCGGGGAGGGCGTTTGCCTGGTCCTCACCCGTCCTGTGAGCACCATCCTCGAACCCCAGACGATTCCCTGAGCACCGCCCGGGCTCATGTCCGAGTGCAGACCCAGGAGTCAGCCCTGAGCATCAGACACTGAAGCCCACTTTCATCCCAGCACCCCGAGATGGTCCTCCCCAAGCCTGAGATCTCCAAGCACAAAGTCGAGGGGAATCAGCCCTGAGCATCCCTTCAGGATGCGGTACCCAACGCCAAGACAAAAAACAAAAACAAAAAAAAAAACCTCAAACACCAGATGCTCTTGCTTCCCTGCGGCTTCGAGAATAAGGAGAGTGGGAAACGGGGTCGCAGACACACAGCCCAGATGAGAGGAGGAGGACGGAACGGAAGGGAAGAAATGAAGTAGGTGCCGGGCCCCCCCGAAAAGGCACAGCACAAACACCATCGGCACTTGTATGTTCATGGCAGCACTGGTCACCAGAGCCAGAATCGGGAAACAACCCGAGTGCCCGAGAACAGACGACTGGTTAAAGACACTCTGGTACATCTACTCAAGGGAATACTACGCAGCTGTCAGGAGAGATGAAGTCATGAAATTTGCCTGTACAACCAATCTTAGAGGGAAATATACATGTTTAAAAGATGTATAGCACAAAAGGCTCAACTTTTAACAACATGTTAGTGATCTCTCATAGAAGGGCATAGGGCTGGAACGACAGCCCAGCGGGAAGGGCGTTTGCCTGGCACGTGGCCGACCCGGGTTCGATTCCCAGCATCCCCTAGGGTCCCCTGAGCACCGCCAGGAGTGATTCCTGAGTTCAGAGCCAGGAGTGAGCCCTGAGCATCGCCGGGTGTGACCCAAAAAGCAAAAATAAATAAATAAATAATAATAATAATAATAATAATAATAAGGGCTTAATGGCCCCTGGGGGAAATACAACAATCTTCACACTCTTTCCTCTAAGACTATTTTTTTGGTAGCATTTTTCAGCATTTTTTTTCATAACACACAATAAAAAATATATATTTTTGATTCTGCTTTGGGGCAGGGGTCGGGGTTTGGAATGGAGACACCCGAAATAAATATGGTGTTGGGAAGGGGTCAGGGTGCTGGGGTGGCTGTTTGAATACTAAATATCATCAAATATTGTGAACTACTTTATAAAACAAATTTTTTAAAAATTGGGGGCCTGGAGCGATAGCACAGCAGGGAGGGCATTTGCCTTGCATGCGGCCGACCCAGGTTCGAGTCCCAGCATCCCCTAGGGTCCCCCAAGCACCGCCAGGAGTGATTCCTGAGTGCATGAGCCAGGAGGGACCCCTGAGTGTCACTGGGTGGGACCCAAAAGAAAGAAAAGAAAGAAAGAAAAAGAGAAAAAGAGAGGAAGGAAAGGAGGAAGGAAGGAAGGAAGGAAGGAAGGAAGGAAGGGAGGGAGGGAGAGGGGCTGGACTGATAGCACAGCGGGGAGGGCATTGGCCTGGCACACGGCTAGCCTGGGTTCGATTCCCAGCATCCCCTAGGGTCCCCTGAGCGCCGCCAGGAGTGATTCCTGAGTGCATGAGCTAGGAGGGACCCCTGAGTGTCACTGGGTGGGACCCAAAAGAAAGAAAAGAAAGAAAGAAAGAAAGAAAGAGAGAGAGAAAGAAAAGAAAGAAAGAAAGAAAGAAAGAGAGAGAGAGAGAGAGAAAGAAAAGAAAGAAAGAAAGAAAGAGTGAGGAAGGAAGGGAGGAAGGAAGAAAGGGAGGGAGGGAGAGAGGGAGGGAGGGAGGGAGGCTGGAGCGATAGCCCAGCGGTGAGTGCATCTGCGTGGCACGCGGCCGACCCGGGTTTGATTCCCAGCATCCCACAGGGTCCCCTGAGCACTGCCAGGAGTGATTCCTGAGTCCAGAGCCAGGAGGGACCCCTGAGCATTGCTGGGTGTGACCCAAAAAAGCAAAAAAAAAATGGTGGGACTTGTAGGCCGGTGTCCAGCGGGGAGGATTTTAACCAAGGGTGCCCTAGAGTCCAGCCTGGAGCACGTTGGCATCACACTGGGAAGAGGCAGGGCGTGTGGGGACCACGTAGCACCGAGTCCAGGAAGGTGGAAAGGTGGAACGCTGAGTCCTGTTCTGCATCCACCTAGACGCCAGCAGCAGCACCAGAGCCCCACGGTACTTACCCTGGGCCTCCCCTTCCCCGTCTTTCCGGTGGTTCCCGGGATGACCGTCACCGCCGCCTGCAAGAGAGAAACCGGTTGAAGGAGCACGGAGTGAGCAAACTTCCACGTTTGCAAGCAGGTACACATGAATCCCGTTCCGGGGGTCCTGGGTGTGTCAGAGACTCTCAGCCCGGGTACAGATTCAGGCTCAAAACTGTTGCAGAATCATTTTAATTTTTTTTTGGAAGGGAGGGTCCCACCCGGCGAAGCTCAGGGGTCCCTCCTGGCTCTGTGCTCAGGAGTGACTCCTGGCGGTGCTCAGGGGACCCTGTGGGATGCTGGGAATCGAACCCGGGTCGGCCACATGCCAGGCCAACGCCCTCCCCGCTGGTCTATCGCTCCAGCCCCTAACAGGATCATTTTTGAGCAGGATATTCATAACGAACAGTACAAAATAGATTATTTATGATCTATAGAATAGATCCCCAAACCCTGCTCTGGGGGCAGGGTTTGGGGATCGGGGTGGACACACTCGAAATATGATGGGGGCGGGGGGCGGGAATTCGTGTGGAATATTCAACGGCATAAATCACTGCGAACGATGTTTTAATAAAATAAAAAAAAAAACAAAACTGTTTTATTTTATTTAAAAAAATAAAAAAAAAAACCAAAACTCCACTGAGTCCTCTTCCAAAGGAACTGAGAAAAATCGGAGACCACGGTGGAGGGAACGTATCACGCATCATGATGGGGGTTGGGGGTGGGGGTGGGAATATCGGACGCCCGAAACAAAGAAATCATCACCGGCAACGAGCTCAAACGCGACACAGTGTTTACTGTGTGAGGAGACAACTGGCAAGGGTCGGCCTGAGCTATTCCAGGTCAGTTCCGGAATATATTCCCACAGAATTGCTTTGAAAATGAAAGGAGAGGGGCTGGAGCGATAGCCCAGCAGGGAGGGTGTTGGCCTTGCGTGCGGCTGACCCGGGTTCGATTCCCGGCATCCCATAGGGTCCCCTGAGCACCACCAGGAGTCATTCTTGAGTGCAGAGCCAGGAGTGACCCCTGGGCATCGCCGGGTGCGACCCAAAAAGCAAAATAATAATAAATACATAAAAATGAAGGGAGAAGAAGGGGCAAGGTTGACCAGATGCCTGAGACTCACCCATTGAATGCAATGCAGCAGAGATGAGGTTGACCAGATGTCCGAAGATCACCCAGCCCAGCACCCCCAGGAAAGAAGGTGACTAAACTTTCCTGACTCTGCACCGAGCACCTTCCTGCCGGGCTTCTCATCGGCCAGTTCTTCTCAGTATTTTTTTCCTGCACCCACCCAACAAGTGAGTTTCCAGAGATCGCCAGGGCCCATTCTCACCAAACTGCACGGGCGAGACTAAATTAAACTGTGACCCAGGGTGCTCGGCCGTGCAGTGCGGAAGGGGGGCACTGGCCCGTGAGGGGGGGTTTTACCTCCGTCCGAGTGTCCGTCCAGGAGGTCAGCATCGGAGAAGTCACCTAGGAAAGAAGGAAAAGCGACCGGGTCATCTTGGAATCCCGGACCCTGCTGGCTGTGACACCCCCCACACGCAGCCCGAGAAAGAGAAGGTTCTAGAAGGGCGTGCTTGGATGTAGAAACGAAAATGCAGTTCTCCCTTTTTTGTTCGGTTTTGCTTTTGCTATTTCGGGTCACATCTGCTGACGCTCAGGGGTTCCTCCCGGCTCATGCACTCAGGAATGACTCCTGGCGGTGCTCGGGGAACTCTAGGGGATGCTGGGAATCGAACCCGGGTCGGCCGTGTGCCAGGCAAGCGTCCTCCCGGGCTGGGCTGTAACGCTCCAGTCCCTGCAGTTCTGCTTTGAACTGCACCACAGAGATAATACACGGGTCTTTTTTTTTTTTTCTTCTTTTTTCCCGTTGCATTCAGCAGATATCCATTCAATCACCGGATCAGGTCTTAGAATTAAGCCCGGAGCACCGAGCCAGGAGTAGCCCCCAGGACCACCAGATGTGGCCCCCCAACCGTTCCCCCAACCCAACAGGAGAAAGACAAAAGGGTTAGAAACTGTGAAGTCATGGAATCTACATACAAGTGGCACTCCATGGAAAGCATCATGCTAAGGGAAATGAGTCAGAAAGAGAGGGCCGGACACAGAGAAACTGCATTCATCTGGGGAACATAACGGAACAAAATCGGAGACTAACACCCAAGAGTGGCCGAGATTAGTACCAGGAATTTTGGTCTGTGGCCTTGGAGGCCAGCCGCACACGCTAGGGGAATAGAGAGCTCGGATAGAGAAGGGAGCACCAAGGAAAGGGTGTGGGGAGGATCCTCCCAGGATGGGAGAAGCACGATGAAGGTAGACTATGGACCGAACATGATGTCCACTCAATGCCTCTCTTGCAAAACACAGTACCCAAAAGAAGAGAGAGAGAGAACAGAAGGGAATGCCCTGCCACTGAGGCAGGGTGGGATGGGGGGGGGATGGGGGTGGGAGGGATACTGGGATCCGTGGTGGTGGAGAATGGGCACTGGTGGAGGGATGGGTGTTTGATCATTGTGTAACTGCAATCCAAGCGCGAAAATTTGTAAGTCTACAACTGTACCTCATGGTGTTTCACTCATAAAAATTAATAATAATAATAATAATAATAATAATAAAGCCCAGAACTCTTCAGAACCACCGGCCAGCAGCCCACTCGTGGACCCCACACACACACACACACACACACACACACACACACACACACACTTACCAGTTGAGCCTGGCTGGTTCGGGTTCGGGTTCGGTCTGGGCTTGGGCGGATTCGCGGGCTCCGGGTTCACTGAGTGAACGAGAAAGGACAGGCGATGGTTCCCCAATGGCCCCCCCGTCCCGTTCCCCTCTGCCTCTGTTTCCCTCCCAGCGCCCACTCTGCCCACGGGGAGGCAGTTGGTGGCGCGGACACACAACGGGCAGAACCCGGGGAGGGAATCCGGGAGAGGCGGGAAGATGCGACTCTTGGTGCCAAGCAAGGAGGAAATTCAATATGGCGGCCCTTGGGGTCTTGAGGAAAAGCCCCCAAGGCTCGGACCCGCCGGAGCACCCCCGAGAGGGTCCCATCAGAACACGTCGACGGGCGCCGGCGAGCTGCTCCTGGCATCCGTGGACACACGTGATTCCCCGGGGGGCGTCCATGCTGGAAGCCAAGAGACACCCAATCGTGACGGCCAAGGGTGTGTGTGTGTGTGTGTGTGTGTGTGTGTTCGCGATGGCCAAGGGTGTGTGTGTGTCTCTGTGTGTGTGTCTGTGTGTGTGTGTTCGCGATGGCCAAGGGTGTGTGTGTCTGTGTGTGTGTGTGTCTCTGTGTGTGTGTGTGTCTCTGTGTGTGTGTCTGTGTGTGTGTGTGTGTTTGCGATGGCCAAGGGTATGTGTGTCTGTGTGTGTGTGTTCGTGATGGCCAAGGGTGTGTGTGTCTGTGTGTGTGTGTTCGCGATGGCCAAGGGTGTGTGTGTGTCTGTGTGTGTGTGTGTGTGTGTTCGCGATGGCCAAGGGTGTGTGTGTCTGTGTGTGTGTGTGTTCGCGATGGCCAAGGGTGTGTGTGTCTGTGTGTGTGTGTGTGTTCGCGATGGCCAAGGGTGTGTGTGTCTGTGTGTGTGTGTTCGCGATGGCCAAGGGTGTGTGTGTCTGTGTGTGTGTGTGTGTTCGCGATGGCCAAGGGTGTGTGTGTCTGTGTGTGTGTGTGTCTCTGTGTGTGTGTCTGTGTGTGTGTGTGTGTTCGCGATGGCCAAGGGTATGTGTGTCTGTGTGTGTATGTTCGCGATGGCCAAGGGTGTGTGTGTCTGTGTGTGTGTGTGTTCGCGATGGCCAAGGGTATGTGTGTCTGTGTGTGTATGTTCGCGATGGCCAAGGGTGTGTGTGTCTGTGTGTGTGTGTGTGTTCGCGATGGCCAAGGGTGTGTGTGTCTGTGTGTGTGTGTGTGTTCGCGATGGCCAAGGGTGTGTGTGTCTGTGTGTGTGTGTCTGTTCGTGATGGCCAAGGGTGTGTGTGTCTGTGTGTGTGTGTGTGTTCGCGATGGCCAAGGGTGTGTGTGTCTGTGTGTGTTTGTGTGTGTTCGCGATGGCCAAGGGTGTGTGTGTGTGTGTGTGTGTGTGTGTGTGTTCGCGATGGCCAAGGGTGTGTGTGTCTGTGTGTGTGTGTGTTCGTGATGGCCAAGGGTGTGTGTGTCTGTGTGTGTGTGTTCGCGATGGCCAAGGGTGTGTGTGTCTGTGTGTGTGTGTGTGTTCGCGATGGCCAAGGGTGTGTGTGTCTGTGTGTGTGTGTGTGTTCGCGATGGCCAAGGGTGTGTGTGTCTGTGTGTGTGTGTGTGTTCGCGATGGCCAAGGGTGTGTGTGTCTGTGTGTGTGTGTGTGTTCGCGATGGCCAAGGGTGTGTGTGTCTGTGTGTGTGTGTGTGTTCGCGATGGCCAAGGGTGTGTGTGTGTGTGTGTGTGTGTGTTCGCGATGGCCAAGGGTGTGTGTGTCTGTGTGTGTGTGTGTGTGCGTGTGTGTGTGGTACTCACAGCCTCCGCCGCCACCATCGAGGGCATCCGCCAAGTTCAAGTCCACTGCAAGAGGGCAAAGAAGGGTCATCGCGGCGAGTCAAGGGCCAGTCAGAGGTCTGGGCTGGACCCCACCACCGGGAGTGACCGGGAGACGTTTCCCTTTTTTGGTGGGTGCGGTGTCACACCCAGAGATGCTCGGGGGTCCCTCCTGGCTCTGCACTCAGGAATGATGCTCAGGGGTTACTCCTGGCTCTGCACTCAGGAATGACTCCTGGCGGTGCTCGGGGGACCCTAGGGGATGCCAGGGATCGAACCCGGGACGGCCGCGTGCAAGGCCAACGCCCTCCCCAATGGGCTATCACTCCAGCCCCTCTCTCTTCCTTCCTTCCTTCCTTCCTTCCTTCCTTCCTTCCTTCCTTCCTTCCATCCTTCCTTCCCTCCTTCCTTCCTTTTCTTCCTTCTCTTCCTTCCTTCCTTCCTTCCTTCCTTCCTTCCTTCCTTCCTTCCTTCCTTCCCTCCTTCCTTTTCTTCCTTCTCTTCCTTCCTTCCTTCCCTCCTTCCTTCCTTTTCTTCCTTCTCTTCCTTCCTTCCCTCCTTCCTTTTCTTCCTTCTCTTCCTTCCTTCCTTCCCTCCTTCCTTCCTTTTCTTCCTTCTCTTCCTTCCTTCCTTCCCTCCTTCCTTCTCTTCCTTCCTTCCTTCCTTCCTTCTCCTTCCTTCCTTCCTTCCCTCCTTCCTTCTCTTCCTTCCGTCCTTCCGTCCTTCTTTCCTTCCTTCCTTCCTGTCTCCCTCCCTCCCTTCCTCTTTTTCTTTCTTTCTTTCCTTCTTTCTTTCTTTCTTTCTTTCTTTCTTTCTTTCTTTCTTTCTTTTCTTTCCTTCCTTCTTCCCTCCCTCCCTCCCTCCCTCCCTCCCTCCCTCCCTCCCTTCTTTCCTTCCTTCCTTCTTTCCTTCCTCCCTTCCTTCCTTCCCTTTCATTTTCTGGTTTTTGGGTCCCACCCGGCAACGCTCAGGGCTTCCTCCTGGCTCTGCACTCAGCAATGACTCCTGGCGGTGCTCCGGGGACCCTCGGGGATGCTGGGAATCGAACCCAGGTCGGCCGCGTGCCAGGCAGATGCCCTCCCCGCTGGGCTATCATCACTCCAGCCCCAAGTGGCAGTTCCTGTAGGAACTGTGGCCCACTCCTGCACGGCCCAGGCAGCTGGCGGGCACGGTGCCCCGTCCCGGATGCGTGCACACCGCAACAACCCGGTGTGCGTCTCACCTCCACCGCTGGGTTTCTTGGGGGGCTTCGGAGTGGCCTTGTCGTTGCCTGCAGAGCAGAGAGACCGGCGTGAGGCCACACGTGTCGCGCCCGCTTCCGAGCCTGCACACTCGGAACTCGCTTCCACGGTCCCCCGTGGCCAAGGGCGTGGCACGGCTGTCAATGCCGCCCACGTGCCCACCACACCCGGGCAGAGACTCTGGGAAGACGAGGAGGAGGAGGAGGAGGAGGAGGAAGACACACACACAGAGACACAGACACACACAGATGCACAGACACGCACACGCGCAGATACACACGTCCGCAGATGAACACACACAGGCACACACAGATGCAGAGACACGCACACACACAGACATACACGTACGCAGATGCACACACGCAGACACACATGTACGCAGATGCACACATACAGGCGCACACACACAGACACACACAGATGCACAGACACGCACACACACAGACACACACAGATGCACACACACGCACACACACAGGCACACACACAGACACACACAGATGCACAGACATGCACACACACAGACACACATACGCAGATGGACACACACAGGCACACCCACACAGACACACACAGATGCACAGACACGCACACACACAGACACACACGTCCACAGATGCACACACACAGGCACACACACAGATGCACAGACACGCACACACACAGACACACACATACACAGATGCACACACACAGGAACAAACACACAGATGCTCAGACACACACACACAGACACACACAGATGCACAGACATGCACACACACAGACACACATACGCAGATGCACACACACAGGCACACCCACACAGACACACACAGATGCACAGACACGCACACACACAGACACACACGTCCACAGATGCACACATACAGGCACACACACAGATGCACAGACACGCACACACACAGACACACACATACACAGATGCACACACACAGGAACAAACACACAGATGCTCAGACACACACACACAGACACACACAGATGCACAGACATGCACACACACAGACACACATACGCAGATGCACACACACAGGCACACCCACACAGACACACACAGATGCACAGACACGCACACACACAGACACACACGTCCACAGATGCACACACACAGGCACACACACAGATGCACAGACACGCACACACACAGACACACACATACACAGATGCACACACACAGGAACAAACACACAGATGCTCAGACACACACACACAGACACACACAGATGCACAGACATGCACACACACAGACACACATACGCAGATGCACACACAGGCACACCCACACAGACACACACAGATGCACAGACACGCACACAGACACACACGTCCACAGATGCACACACACAGGCACACCCACACAGACACACACAGATGCACAGACACGCACACACACAGGCACACACGTCCACAGATGCACACACACAGGCACACACACAGATGCACAGACACGCACACACACAGACACACACATACACAGATGCACACACACAGGAACAAACACACAGATGCTCAGACACGCACACACACAGACACACACAGATGCACAGACATGCACACACACAGACACACATACGCAGATGCACACACACAGGCACACCCACACAGACACACACAGATGCACAGACACGCACACAGACACACACGTCCACAGATGCACACACACAGGCACACACACAGATGCACAGACACGCACACACAGACACACACATACACAGATGCACACACACAGGAACAAACACACAGATGCTCAGACACACACACACACAGACACACACAGGCACACACACAGATGCACAGACACGCACACACACAGACACACACGTCCGCAGATGCACACACATAGGCACACACACATGCGCACGCACGCACACACATGAACACACAGATGCATACATGTGCACGCACAGACACACACACAGGTTACACACATGTACATACGCATGAACACACACGCACACACATGCACACACTGACGCACACATGCACACACGGACGCTCACGGAGAGCACACGTGCACATACATGCATACATAGACACACACATAGACACACAAACACATGCACACACAGACACACACATATACATACGCATACACAGACACACACAATCACATACAGACACACACACGTACATGTGCACAGACACACACGCACACAGAGAAGCACACTCACAGACACGAACAGAGGTACACACGCACACTCTTAGACACACACATGCAGAAACACACAAATGCACCTGTAGATGCACACACACGCACACAACATATACACACATGCACACACAGACGCACACAATCACATACAGACACACACATGTACGTATACATAGACACACACGCACACACAGACACGTACAGAGGTACGCACGTGCACACTTAGACGCGCACATGCAGAAACACACAAATGCACATGCAGACGCAGACACACAGGCACACAACGTATACACACATGCACACACAGATGCACACAGTTCCACACACACCTATGCGCGCAGAGACACAGAGACACACACACAGAGGTCCCTGCCTTCAGGTGGATAAAACCCGAGAGTTCACCCCCTTGGAGGGGAAGCCATGGCGCCCACCAGAGACAGCCGGTCTCCGTGACGACGGTTGTTCAGTGAACAACAACAACAGCACACGAGTCACAGATTCTGAGAGCCGCAAGGGCCCCTCATGGCGGGCGTCAGGCACAGTAGCAGAAGCCCAGGACGCCACCTCCCTAAGAACCTTCCGGGCTGCTCCCCTGGACCCCCGGGGCCAGCACCACCACCCAGTACCCCCCGGCCCCCGGCTCTCCCCCCTTCCCCGGCCCCTCCCCGGTTCACCGAATCCGATGCCCGCCCCACCCCCCGGGACACAGTGCTCGGACAAGACTCCCTGCAAAGTACTCACCGTCTTCCACAGCATCCGCCAAATCAAAGTCGTCTTCTAGGAGAGAAAGAGGCACAGGTCAGACGACAGGTGGACACGCAACCCCCGCCGGGGGCGATGGAGGAGGACCAAGGCCGGCGACACGGCGACCACCCAGGCCAGGTCCTCGACACCCACGGGTCTGCCGGTGGCACCCAAGGATCCCGACGCCACGGCTCAGCCGCCGAACGGGGCGGGGCCAGGAGGAAGGGCAAAGGCCCAGGAACCAGGAAGGGACGGAGGGAGGGAGGGAGGGAGGAGAGGAAGGAAGGAAGGAAGGAAGAGAAGGAAAGAAAGAAAAAGAAAGAAAGAAAGAAAGAAAGAAAGAAAGAAAGAGAGAGAGAGAGAGGGAAGGAGGGAGGGAGGGAGGGAGAGAGGAAGGAAAGAAAGAAAGAAAGAAAGAAAGAAAGAAAGAAAGAAAGAAAGAAAGAGAGAGAGGGAAGGAGGGAGGGAGGGAGAGAGGAAGGAAGAAAGAAAGAAAGAAAGAAAGAAAGAAAGAAAGAGAGAGAGGGAAGGAGGGAGGGAGGGAGAGAGGAAGGAAGAAAGAAAGAAAGAAAGAAAGAAAGAAAGAAAGAGAGAGAGAAGGAGGGAGGGAGGGAGAGAGGAAGGAAGAAAGAAAGAAAGAAAGAAGGAAGGAAGGAAGGAAGGAAGGAGAGAAGAAGGGAAGGGAGGGGGAGGGAGGAAGAAAGGAACAAAGGAAGGAAAAGAGAGAGGAAGGGAAGGAGGAAGGGAGGAAGAGAGGAAGGAAGAAAGGAAGGAAGGAAGAGAAAAAGAGAAGGGAAGGAAGGAAGGAAGGGGGAAAAAGGAAAAGAGCGAAAGGATGAAAGAAAGAGGAATAGAAGAAGGAAGGACGGAAGGAAAGAAGGAAGGAGGGAGGGAGGGCAGGAGGGAAGAAAGAAGGAAGGAAGAAAGGAAGGGAGGGAGGAAGTAAAGAAAGGGAAGGATGGAAGGAAGGAACAAAGGAAGAAAGGAAAGAAAGAAGGAAGGAAAGAAAGAAGAAAGGGAGGGAAGGAGGGACGAAGGGAGAGACAGAGGGAGGAAGGGAGGGATGGAGGAAAGGAAGGGAGGAAAGAAGGAAGGAAGGAAGGAAGGAGAGAAAGACAGAAAGGAAGAGAGGAAGGAAGGAAGGAAGGAAGGAAGGAGAGAAAGACAGAAAGGAAGAGAGGAAGGAAGGAAGGAAGGAAGGAAGGAAGGAAGAAGGAAGGAAGGAGGGAAGGAAGGAAGGGAAGGAAGGAAGGAAGGAAGGAAGGGAGAGAAAGAAAGGAAAAGAGGAAGGAAGGTGGAAAGAAGGAAGGAAGGAAGGAAGGAAAAGGAAGGAAGGAAGGAGAGAAAGACAGAAAGGAAGAGAGGAAGGAAGGAAGGAAGGAAGGAGAGAAAGACAGAAAGGAAGAGAGGAAGGAAGGAAGGAAGGAAGGAAGGAAGGAGAGAAAGACAGAAAGGAAGAGAGGAAGGAAGGAAGGAAGGAGAGAAAGACAGAAAGGAAGAGAGGAAGGAAGGAAGGAAGGAGAGAAAGACAGAAAGGAAGAGAGGAAGGAAGGAAGGAAGGAGAGAAAGACAGAAAGGAAGAGAGGAAGGAAGGAAGGAAGGAAGGAGAGAAAGACAGAAAGGAAGAGAGGAAGGAAGGAAGGAAGGAAGGAAGGAAGGAAGGAGAGAAAGACAGAAAGGAAGAGAGGAAGGAAGGAAGGAAGGAAGGAAGGAAGGAGAGAAAGACAGAAAGGAAGAGAGGAAGGAAGGAAGGAAGGAAGGAGAGAAAGACAGAAAGGAAGAGAGGAAGGAAGGAAGGAAGGAAGGAAGGAAGGAAGGAAGGAGAGAAAGACAGAAAGGAAGAGAGGAAGGAAGGAAGGAAGGAAGGAGAGAAAGACAGAAAGGAAGAGAGGAAGGAAGGAAGGAAGGAAGGGAAAGGGAGGAAGGAAACCCGGGCGCCCCCGCTCCCAGCTGGGACCCTGCCCCCAGGGTCCATCCCCGTTTCCTTAATGAACCCGCTCCCGGCTGGTCACCTCCCTGGGGACTCCGGCCACCCAGTAGCCAGCAGGAAACACCCGGCCCCAAGGACGGACGGATGGACGGACGGACGGACGCTGGCTGGACACACGCACACTCGCCGGCCACCCGCTCCCCTCCTGGGCTCACGGGCGCCCGGAATTTTGCCTCCGCCGGGACCCTGGCGGAAAAGGCAGGTGCCTGGATTCGCTTTGCGGGTGCAGAGGTCCAATGGGTGTGAGTCACCGTGAGCAGGATGGATGGAGGGACGGGGGGGAGGGAGGGAGGGAGGGCGTCCACCCCCGCCCTGGCCCGCAACCTGACCATGAGTCACCCTCCGCTCTGGTCACTCTGGACAAAACAACCTCGTCCACAGCACGTGGGAGCCTCCGGGGACGCGGGCCAGGGTAGGGGAGCCCGTCCCAGCGCACCCACGGCAGGGACACAGGTACAGGACGGGTCGGGAGGCTCTGCTGTCCCGTGTCCCTTCCTCTTTGGGGTCCTGGACCCAGGCAGGGACAGGGACCGTCCGGACGATGCAGACGGTCACAGTACACTGTAGCACTGTGGCACTGTCCTCCCGTGGTTCATCGATTGGCTCGAGCGGGCACCAGGCACGTCTCCACGGTGAGACTCGTGGTGACTGTGTTTGGCATCGCATAGACGCCACGGGGAGCTGGCCAGGCTCTGCCACTGTGCGGGCGGGATCCTCTCGGGAGCTTGCCAAGAGGCTCTCCGAGAGGGGCAGGGGAATCGAACCCGGGTCGGCCGCGTGCCAGGCCAACGCCCTCCCCGCTGTGCTGTCACTCCAGCCCACAGTCACGGTGCATCAGAGGAAAAAAAAATAATAATAATAAAACAGGGAACAGAGAACAGGAATTCCCCCAGCAGAAGTTTCTGAGTCACAACCGGAGCTCGGGACTGCGGGCAGCTCGGGGTGGCGTCTCCCTGACAACCAAATAATTAAACAAACAAAACAAACCAAAAAATAAATAAATAAATAAAAAACAGGTATCGAGCGTCACGCGACGGCCCGCTGCAAACAACGCGTCCAGTGTCCAGTAACTAAACACTTAGGGTCACAGTGCAGGGAGGGAGAGAGAGAGAGCACAGTGGGCAGGGCATTGGCCTGGCACACAGCCCACCCGGGTTCCATCCCTGGCATCCCTGAGGACCACCAGAACTGACCTGTTAGCGCAGAGCCAGGAGGAAGCCCTGGCACTGTGACACTCCCAACCCCCTCAGACTCCCAAAATATACAGTGAAAATTAAGATCTCGAACTAACACTAAAAAAAAAAAAATTTAATAAAATCTGCACGCAATGCAGGACAATAAAAAAATAAAATCTGGGTATAAAAAATAAATAAAATCTGCACGCAATGCACAACAATAAAAAAATTAAATCTGGGTATAAAAAATAAAATCTGCACGCAATGCAGGACAATAAAAAATAAAATAATCTGGATATAAAATAATAAAATCTGCACGCAATGCAGGACAATAAAAAACATATGTGCATAGCACCGTGGGGAGGGCATTGGACTGACACGCGGCCGACCCGGGTTCGATTCCCAGCATCCCATAGGGTCCCCCGAGCACCGCCAGGAGTGATTCCTGAGTGCAGAGCCAGGAGGGACCCCTGAGCATCGCCGTGTGGGACCCAAAAAGCAAAAAAAGGGCGTGAGACCCCGGCCAGATTCCTCAGTACCACAAAATAAACAAAATAACCCAAAGGAGACCAAAAAAGAAAAGAAAAAAAGGAAAAAATCAGGCCAGAAATAAATAAGGGAGAAATACGGAGAACTGAGAGTCGTCCGTTCTGGAACTGCGACGCCTGATCATTGATTGATTGATCCCTGGCCCTTGTGCGATAGAAAGAAGCGCCGGTCATCGATAAGCCGGAGCTCGGCAACGAGGGGGACGGTCACATACATGCGTTCACTTGCCCATTGCTGGCGGGAATCAATTGCATTTTAATTGCATTTAAATTTGAATTTAGACTTCAATTTGAATGCAGTGAAATGGCATTGAAATGCGGAAGCCGGAGCCTTTGCAGGTAATATTATTAGACACGTATAAATAAAATATGTAGGGGGGTCCGAGGGATAGCCCAGCGGGGAGGGCGTTGGCCTGGCACGTGGCTGACCCGGGTTCGATTCCCAGCATCCCACAGGGTCCCCTGAGCACCGCCAGGAGTGATCCCTGAGCACTGCCGGGTGGAGTCCCAAGCCCAGAATATTAAGAAAAGAAATCAAGAAAAACCAGCGTGGGGAGAAAGGAACGAGTGCCTGAGGGAGAAAGAAGGGTCCCCCCACACGCTCGCTCACTCTGCAGCGCAGTCCCGGGCAGGGGGCGGTCAGCGGGTGGTCAGGGGGCGGTCAGTGGGCGGTTTGTGGATGGTAAACAGGTGATCAGCGGGTGGTCAGTGGGTGGTCAAGGGGGCAGTCAGCGGGCCATCAGCGGGTGGTCAGGGGGAGGTCAGCGAGTGGTCAGTGGGTGGTCAGCGGATGGTCAGGGGTGGTCAGTGGCTGGTCAGTGGCTGGTCAGGGGGCGGTCAGCAGGTGGTCAGGGGGCAGGGCAGTCAGTGGATGGTCAGGGGCGGTCAATGGGTGGTCAGTGGGCGGTCAGCACGTGGTCAGGGGGCGGTCAGGGGGCAGGGCAGTCAGTGGGTGGTCAAGGGCAGTCAGCGGGTGATCAGGTGGCGGTCAGTGAGTGGTCAGCGGGCAGTCTGGGGGTGGACAGCGAGTGGTCAGCGGGTGGTCGGGGTGGTCAGGGGGCAATCAGTTGGTGGTCAAGGGGTGGTCAGCGGGTGGTCAGTGGTCAGTCAGCGGGTGGTCAATGGATGGTCAGGGGGCGGTCAGGGGGCAGGGCAGTCAATGGGTGGTCAGGGGGAGTCAACGGGTGCTCAGGGGTGGTCAGGGGGCGATCAGTTGGTGGTCAGGGGGTGGTCAGTGGACAGTCAGCGGGTGGTCAACGGATGGTCAGGGGGCGGTCAGGGGGCAGTCAGTGGGTGATCAGGGGTGGTCAGTGGGCGGTT